AGAGAAGACTTTGGGTTCTACCTACCGCTTGAGGGCTTGCGGACCCCCCGGAGCAGGTGGGGGGCTTCCCTCGCCATTTCTGTCCTGTTGCAGGGAGTGCTGGGCAGAACCGAAGAGCTGCTGCTGCTGCTCTCGTCGGCAACCGGCTTCCCCGCCAATCCTGGGAAAAGAGCCCCCGGTGAGCGAAGGCGTCCGCGGCTGCCGGCGACCTTCCTGCCTGCCTGCCAGCCCAGCTTCACCGAGTGGGAGAGTCACAGCAGGGCAGGGCGAGCCCCAGCAGAAGTTTAGGGGCCCTGACTCTGCCCCAGGTATCTATCTGTTGACTGAAGGCAGGGCAGGGAATGGCCAGGGGAGAGATGGGTAGACCTCAACTTGCAAGGGTGACTGACCCTGGAAGGAACGGCTGTTAAGTTGTGTGCCGCTTTGTTAAGCCGGGGACGACGTGGCTGCCTTAAAAGGAACTGGGTTAAAAGGAGTAGCCAAAATGGATGGATGGATACATAGATGATACATATAGATTAGAGATGATAGATAAATAGACAGATAGATGATAGATAAAGATGGATGGATGGATAGATACAGATTAGATAGACAGACAGATGATAAAGATGGATGGATGGATAGATAGATATAGATTAGATAGGACAGACAGATGATAAAGATGGATGGATGGATAGATATAGATAAGATGGACAGATGACAGATCTATATAGATAGATACATATAAATTAGAGATGATAGACCAGTGGTTCTCAACCTGTGGGTCGGGACCCCATTTGGGGTCGAACGACCATTTCACGGGGGTCGCCAAACAATGCAGTCCGCCATTTTTTCCCCTTTTCCTTAGCTGTGCTACTCCCTTTTATTCTATTGGCTTTTGAAAGCCAATAGAATAGACTCTCTTGAGTAGAGTCTAATTCTGTTGGCTTTCAAAAGCCAATAGGAATTGTCCAGGCTGTCTCTGCCCTGTTGAGCCCGCCAAAAGCCCCATTCTGCAAACGGTGCTGCACCAGTTGAGTAGTCCTCGACTTACGACCGGTTGGGGGTCGCAGCATTAAAAAGGTTGAGAACCACTGTGACAGACAGACAGACAAATAGATGGATAGGATGAATGGAGAGATGATAGATCTATCTATAGATAGATGATACATATAGATTAGAGATGATAGACAGATAGGTAGATAAGATGGATGGATGGATGTAGATAGATGATAGATCTATCTATAGATTATATGTATGTATGTATGTATGTATGTATGTATGTATGTATGTATGTATCCAAATTTCTTTTTCTGACAAAGAATTAAAGAAAAAGAAATTTGGATTTGTAATGTTTTGCAGTTGTGACTTGAGCCTGCTTAACGCCCCTAGTTGGGGGCTGCAAGGCAAAAGAGATTGTAAAAAAAAAAAAGTAAAACTGCAGTATAGCAGTTAAAAAATGTCAAGGTGTAATCAATTAGACATCTGTCTGAAAAACGTCCTGCATATATATGTATATATACAGATTAGAGATGATAGACAGACAGACAAATAGGTATGTAAGTAAGTAGTAGGTAGGTAGGTAGATAGGTAGGGATGGATGGATGGATGATAGGCACAGATACATGGGCCAGAATTTATACCTTGCAGGACAGTGTTTTTAACTTTAGGAACATTACGATGGGTAGACTTCAACTCCCAGAATTCCCCAGCCACCTTAACATTCCCAAGCTTGAAGAACCCTTGCTTTCAGCGAAGACCAAGTCAGTCATAGCAACTAGAAACTCCTGTGAGTGACTTGAGGCTGGGGTCGGAGAGGCCACATGGGTGTGGTAGTCCCGGGGGGGGGGGGGAAGAAGGGCTTCCACTTACCGGAAGAGGGTTCCATGTGGGCCCCATTTACTTTCAGGGGTGTCAGGACCACACGGGGAAGCATCATGCCTGCCTTTTTCTTCTGCTTGCTCACCTGTTTCAAAGGAAACGGAGGAGAGCGTTGCTGAGGGGAGACGGAGGAAGCCCAAAGACCGAGCCTCTTGCTTTCTCGGCAGGCAGGATCAAAGGCCCCGGCCCCCTCCATTTCGGGACAGCTCAGCCTAGTGGTTATAACTCCTAGCTTTCCCAAAAGACCTTCAGGGGTTGCCAATGGAGCAGGCGGGTGGTGCTTCTCTACTACACAGCCTCCAGACAGGTAACCCTTGACTTATGGCCACAGTAAGTGGTCTCGTACTTGAACAGGGGGCTGGACTAGTTCTATTCTATTCTATTCTATTCTATTCTGTTCTGTTCTGTTCTAATTTCTATTCTATTCTGCATTTCTATTCCATTCAATTCAATTCCATTCTATTAATTCTACTCTATTCTATCTTCTATTCTATTCTATATTTCTATTCTATTCCTTATTCTCTTCTATTCCACATTTCTATTCTATTCCTTATTCTATTCTATTCTATATTTCTATTGCAGTCTATATTTCTATTCTATTCTATTTTATTCTATTCTATTCCTTATTCTATTCTATTCTATATTTCTATTCCAGTCTACATTTCTATTCTATTCTATATTTCTATTCTATTCCTTATTCTATTCTATTCCATATTTCTATTCTATTCTATTCTATTCTATTCTATTCTATTCTATTCTATTCTATTCTATTCTATTCTACTCTATTCTATTCCTTATTCTATTCTATATTTCTATTCCAGTCTATATTTCTATTCTATTCTATATTTCTATTCTATTCCATTCCATATTTCTATTCTATTCTATTCTATTCTATTCTATTCTATTCTATTCTATTCTACTCTATTCGATTAAAGTGAGAAATTTGTTAAGTATGTTTTGTCTCATTTTACGACCTTTCCTGCCTCAGTTGTTAAGGGAATCACTGCAGCTGATAAATTAGTAACCTGGTTGTTAAGTGAAATCTGGCTTCCCCGTGGATTTCACTTGCCAGAATTCCCCAGCCCCATCCCTCCCTATCTCAGACCCCTGGGTTGGTAAGTGGCCCCTGAAGACTCTCTTCCCCTTTCACGTATATTCAATTGCTTCACTCCCCATTTCTATTCACACAGGGTCACCGGAAATAAACACTGGAATACAGGAGAGAGTCCTTGTAAAAAGCACACCAGCTCTCCTCCAGAAAGATAATCCAGGGGTGCTTTTGCTCCAGTTATTCTATCCAGGTCAGCAAAAGATACTTAGGTGACTCATCCAGGCTTTGTCTTTGGGGGATTTTTTAATAAAAATCTGGACAAGATTTGGCCAAACGCCTCTCTAGCAATCAGAGGCACTCTCCACGCCCGGCTCTGGGCAGCTGCGGTGCCAAATTCCAGATCCAACGGCAAACAATATTGTCCCCGGCTCAACGTCGCCCATCTCCGAAAGACCTCTGCCCCACAAGTCGAGACACAACTTTGCGGCCCAAGGGAATTCTACAGATGCTGCTTCCTTCTACTTCGCGAGGCTCTTTGAAATCTTCCCACGTTTAATGTCGTTTAAAGTGGGTCACACGCGAGCGGGGGCGCCCCACAGCAGTTTATAAACACGGAGAAAGCTCTCCGCCGTGAACCTTCGGCGGGTGTTAACGAGAAGCAAAGGAGGGCAGTTCAGGTGGAATAAAGGCACCTTCCTCTTGGTGACCCAGCTCTGGGGCCCTGCTCACCTGCCCCCCTGTGAACTTCTCTCCGGCCCTTCCTACCTGCGATGCTGTTCTGGTGCTTTCCCGAAGAGCCAAGCTGCTCTTGCTTTGGGACTCCGTGGAACAGGAGGCGTTGGAAGAGGTTTCGTCCAGAGACACTGGAAAGGAAGGATCAGAGCATTGGAATGCAGCCTGGATGGGCAGTTCTGGGGCACCCAGGGTGACCCACATTATGCCACTGTGTCGGGAGCACCACTGAAGGCCACTTTGATTCCGGGTTCAGTTCAAGGGCTGCAGCTGCCAAAAAGGCCAACACAGTGCTGGGCTGCATTAAACAGAGGGACAGAATCAAGATCACGTGGAGTGTTAATACCGCTTTACAAGGCCTTGGTAAGGCCACACTTGGAATACTGCATCCAGTTTAGGGCACCACGATGTAAAAAAGATGCTGAGACTCTGGAAAGAGTGCAGAGAAGAGCCACAAAGAAGATCAGGGGACTGGAGGCGAAAACATAGAAGGAATGGTTGCTAGAACTGGGTAGGTCTAGTTCAGTGATGGCAAACCTTTTAGAGACCAACCCAAAACCCACTTATGTATCGTTGGGTGCTGGGTGGGCGTGGGCCATTGGGTGGGCGTGGCTGCGGTGGTAATGGCAGACTGGGTGGGACTAAAAAGTTCAATCAATCAATTCCAACTTTGAAGATCTTTTTTGTCCCCGTGAGAAATTGAAATTGATTGATTCAGTGGTTCTCCACCTGTGGGTCGGGACCCCATTTGGGGTCGAACGACCATTTCACGGGGGTCGCCAAACAATGCAGTCCGCCATTTTTTTCCCCTTTTCCTTAGCCGTGCTACTCCCTTTTATTCTATTGGCTTTTGAAAGCCAATAGAATAGACTCTCTTGAATAGAGTCTAATTCTATTGGCTTTCAAAAGCCAATAGGAATTGTCCAGGCTGTCTCTGCCCTGCTGAGCCCACCAAAAGTCTCATTCTGCAAACGGTGCTGCACCAGTTGAGTAGTCCTCGACTTACGACCGGTTGAGTAGTCCTCGACTTACAACCGGTTGGGGGTCGCGGCATTAAAAAGGTTGAGAACCACTGGATTGATTGATTGAACTTTTTTTTTTTTTTTGCACACGGTGGCAGAGGCCTAAAGCGAAAAGGTTTTATAAAACCCAGCTGAAGGCCCAGGACTGGGGCGACAGCGCACGTGCCCACAGACAGGGCACTGTGCCACCACCACGGGTCTAGTTTAACGAAGGACGAGGGGGGACAGGATAGCAGTCTTCCAGTATCTCAGGGGCTGCCCCAAAGAAGAGGGAGTCAAGCTCTTCTCCAAAGCGCCTGAAGGCAGGGCAAGAAGCAATGGATGGAAACTCATCAAGGAGAGAAGCAACCTGGAACTAAGGAGAAACTTCCTGACAGTCAGAACAATTAACCAGTGGAACAACCTGCCTCCAGAAGCTGTGGGTGCTCCATCACTGGAAGTTTTTAAGAAGAGACTGGACAGCCATTTGTCCGAAATGTACTATAGGGTTACCTGTCTGAGCAGGGGGTTGGATTTGATGACCTCCAAGGTCCTTTCCAACATTATTATTGTTGTTGTTGTTATATTATTATATTGTTGTTATCATCATTATTATGTTGGTTATCAGCTTTAAAGGCCCAGGACCAGGCTATCTGAGGAATCATCTCATCCTGAGGGGATGACCCTGTCCCCTCCGTGCTGGCGGAGGAAGCACGCTGTGCACCTGTCAGTCAAGAAATGCTGCCTGGTGGGATACAGGAGAAGAGCTTTTCTGCTGTGGCTCCTGACCTTTGGAACATCGTGCCCCTGATGCGAGATCCCCCTCCCCGCCCTTGGTCTTCCGAAAGAGCCTGAAGACCTCGCCCTGCCAATTTGGCCTGGGCCCCCAATGGAGATACATCATTCTGGAGGTGGCTCATTGACTGGGTGGTGCATCACATGTCCAAAATATTCTAATTTTCATTTTTTAATTGTTTTGATGATTTCCCTTGGCTTTCCCAGGCGGTTGATCACCCCCTCATTTCTGATCTTGTCCACCCAGCTTATACATAACAGCCACCTGTAAATCCACATTTCAGATGCTTCTAGTCTCTTCCGGTGGCCTTCTGTCAGAGACCAACTCTCTACTCCAGTGGTTCTCAACCTGTGGGTTGGGACCCCATTTGGGGTCGAACGACCATTTCACGGGGGTCGCCAAACAATGCAGTCCGCCATTTTTCCCCCCCTTTTCCTTAGCTGTGCTACTCCCTTTTATTCTATTGGCTTTTGAAAGCCAATAGAATAGATTCTCTTGAATAGAGTCTAATTCTATTGGCTTTCCAAAGCCAATAGGAATTGTCCAGGCTGCCTCTGCCCTGCTGAGCCCGCCAAAAGTCCCATTCTGCAAACGGTGCTGCACCAGTTGAGTAGTCCCCGACTTACGACCGGTTGAGTAGTCCTCGACTTATGACTGGTTGGGGGGTCGCGACATTAAAAAGGTTGAGAACCACTGGACTAAGACTTCACCTCCCCACACCCCCCCCAATGCACCTTGCTCCCTTCCTCCCCATCACCGTCAATTTTAAATTAATTTAATGGGAACCCTGTTGGCGCCGTGGTTAGGATGAAGTGCTGCAGGTAAACTATTCCAAGCTGACTCTGCCCACAGCCTGGAGTTCGATCCTAACCAGCTCAACCTCCACTCAGCCTTCCTTCCTTCCGAGGTCGGTAAAATGAGGACCCAGCTTGTTGGGGGGGGGGGAAGGTGCAAATGATGCCTCTACATTGTACGCTGTGAGTTCAAGCGCTACGAGGCGGTCTAGAAGTCTTGAGTCCTATTGCTATTTATTGTTCTCATGTTTTTAATTACTGCAAGCCCCACCCAGAGTTAGCTCCGAGAAAGATGGACAGCATATAAGCTGAATAAATAAGCAATAAAATAAAATAAAAAATAACAATAACGAGTTGGAAGGCACCTTGGAGGTCTTCTAGTCCAACCTCCTGCTCAAGCAGGAAATCCTATACCAGTGGTGGCGAACCCATGGCACAGGTGCCAGAGGCGGCACTCAGAGCTCTCTTGGTGGGCATGCGCGCCATCGCCCCAGTCCTAGGCCTTCAGTTGGGTTTTATAAAACCTTTTCGCTTTAGGCCTCCGTCGCCGTGTACAAAAAAAAAGGTTCACTCAATCACTCAATTTCAACTTCTTGCGGGGAAAAAAAAAAGATCTTGCAAAGTTGGAATTGATTGATTGAACTTTTTAGTCCCACCCAGCCTGCCGTTACCACCGCAGCCACGCCCACCCAATGGGCCACGCCCACCCAATGGGCCACACCCACCCGGCACCCAACGATGCATAAGTGGGTTTTGGGTTGCAGTTTGGGCACTCAGTCTCTAAAAGGTTCGCCATCACTGCCCTATACCATTGCAGACAAGTGGTTGTCCAATTTCCTCTTAAAAACTTCCAGTGTTGGAGCAGCCACAACTTCTGGAGTCAAGCTGTTCCACTGGTTAATTGTCCTCACTGTCAGGAAGTTTCTCCTTAGTTCCAGGTTGCTTCTCTCCTTGATTAGTTTCCCTCCATTGCTTCTTGTCCTGCCTTCAGGCGCTTTGGAGAACAGCTTGACTCCCTCTTCTTTGGGACAGCCCCTGAGATACTGGAAGACTGCTATCATGTCCCCCCTCGTCCTTCTCTTCGTTAAATTAGACATACCCAATTCCAGCAACCGTTCCTTATATGTTTGAGCCTCCAGTCCCCTAAATAGCATCCACATCCGTTGAGGAAGCAGCTGGAGCAAGCTCAGAGTAGGAGCATATTTATTTATTTATTTATTTATGAGACTTATATGCCGCTTTAAGTGCAAGCACTCTCTAAGCGGTGTACACCAGTAAGCAATGTATATATAATATATTTACATTGCCCCCAACAACCTGGGTCCTCTTTTTACCTACCCCGGAAGGATGGAAGGCTGAGTCAACCTTGAGCCGGTGAGATTTGAACCGCTGACCTGCTGAACACAGTCAGCTAAAGTGGCCAGCAGGACTGCACTCTAACTGCTGCGCCACCTCGGCTCACTTACCGTCATTATCCCCGCTCACAGTGCTGGCAGCTTCATTGGAACCGCTGCTCTCGGCGTCATCCAGCTCTTCTCCTTCAGGCCCGGCGAGCGTCCGAGACCATTGGGCAGCAGCTTTCTGGAAGAACCAATCAGAGCTTGGAGAGACGGTCTCTTGGGAGCCAGAGGGGAGGATCACATGGACACTACTATCCCCCCCCCACTATCCAGCTACTGCGTTCGCTTGGAACCAGTGGTCAGCCAAGAATATAAACAAACTATATACAGACAATGGCTAAAACGATGATGACGATGATGACATACAGGTAGTCCTCAACTTACAACTGCTCGTTTCGTGAGCGTTCCAAGTTACGACACTGAAAAAAGCGACTTGCGACCATTTTTCACACTTACGACCGTCGCCACATCTCCAGGGCCACAGGATCAAAGTTCAGGCACCTGGCAGCTGACTCGTATTTATGACGGTTGCAGTGTCCCGGGGAGTGTGTTTGTGTGTGTGTGTGTGTGTGTGACGGGATCCCCTCACTGAACAAGTCTCGCTTAGCAATGGAAAGTTTGGGCTCAAATTGTGGCCGTAAGTCGAGGACTACCTGTATTGGTGCTCTCTGAGCTTGTGTCCTGGTTCCGACAGATGAAACTCTTCCAAGAACTTCGAGGCATTGTTTACCTTAAAGAATCTTTATTCGAGTAGCATAGCATCCACACGTACATAGGCGAGGCCAAAATCTGGATTCCCCTCCCCTGAGCACATAGTAGCAAAGCACAATTCCCTCCCCTAATTTACAGTCATAAATCACATTCTCCAATTAGCTTGAAATGCAGGCCTTCCCTCCTTTACTCCAGCCTGCCATTTCTTATCATCTCTTATTTCAAAAGCCCTGAATTCACAGCTATTACAATATTGTTATGTTAATATTGTTATGTCGAACTAACTCCCCTCACATTCCTCCTCCTCCACCCAGTATCATCTAACTCTAAGAGTAAAGCATAAGAGAGAAAAAGGCTGCATTTCCATATGTTGTCAAAGCAAGAACATCCAATGTTAGAGCAGCGTTCACAGCTTGGTTGTTTGCTTGCAGATTTTTCATTACCCAACTAGCAACTGAGCTGAGGGGTATCTAGAGTTTGCTTCCTGTTTATACACGGTGGCTTGCTCTGCCTGTGTTGGTGTGTGTGTGTGTGTATGTGTGTGTGGTTTGTGTGTGTTTCCTCCTTGATAATTTCTTGATTAGGCTATTGTGTTCTGGTTGATTGTTTGTCTGGTGTTAATCCCTGCTTATCTGGGTGTTGGCTGCCGAGGGGAGGGGTTCTAGTCTTGCAGACACTTCACGACCCAACTTCCTCCGTCTCAGCTTTCTTGTTCTCTTTTTGGAAGGGCGTGTAAATATGGATGATTTCTAGGTTGATGGCTGGTTTGTCTGAATGTCAAGCTTCCAAGAACTCCCTATCATTGGTGGATTTGGCATGGTCTAGGATGCTCACAAGTTTCCAAGCTGGAACTCTGGTGGAACCTGTCCGTGCGGTGTGAGATTTGGGAGTTTTCATTCTGTCTTCTGCTAGTTGATGTTCACGGATGCCTTCTGCTACTCTTCTGCCTGCCTCTCCTACAGGGTGGTAGTTACAATCCTGTATGTGGTACACACTGTGTATAATGGTATGTAAGGTCCTTATACTGCAGGATCCAATCTGGGTCGGTCACCGGGACCAGAGATTTAAGCTTTCTGAACTTTTGGACTGGTGCTGGAGCCCATCTTGAGGGAACTTCTCTCTACTGGACTAAGTCCTTATACCAGGGGTCTTCAAACTTGGCCACTTGAAGACTTGTGGACTTCAACTCCCAGAATTCCTCAGCCAGCCCTGGGGGCTGGCTGAGGAATTCTGGGAGTTAAAGTCCACAAGTCTTCAAGTGGCCAAGTTTGAAGACCCCTGCCTATGCCCAACGACCGTGACAGCCACCATCTCAGACAGAAGGCATGCAAGGAAGCTAGCATAAGTACAGCATGGCACAATATTCCTATTTAAGCTCGTATTTATTGATCTGCACCCAAAACTGGCTAACGACAAGATCTAGACCTGAGACCATGTCACGGGCCCAAGTTTGTACAAAATTTGGCAGTCAGCTAAGCCTTCCCCCGGTCCCTGGATTAAAAGAACGGAAATCTGGTCTTACCTTGAGAGTGAAGAGGCTAATCCGCCCGGGAAGTTTGTAAAATAGCCCATCGCAGCTTCTTGAATTGGAGTGAAGCATCGCGTTCAGGCAGGCCAGCGGAGAGGTGCCACTGCAGATGGAAAACAGGCACAATTCAACCTGTCAATCGAGAGGTACCTCGCTCTGGAACTTGTGAAAGAAACTGTGGAACATTCTGACAAGCCGACATATTACCAGCTGCCCAGATTCCCCTTGTGACGAATGACAAGAAAGAAAGAAAGAAAGAAAGAAAGAAAGAAAGAAAGAAAGAAAGAAAGAAAGAAAGAAAGAAAGAAAGAAAGAGAAAGAAAAAAAGAAAGAAAAAAAGGAAGGAAGGAAGGAGGGAAGGGAGTTCAAAAAGAATGAAAGGGGAGAGAAGAACAGAAGGAAGGAAGGAAGGAAGGAAGGAAGGAAGGAAGGAAGGAAGGAAGGAAGGAAGGAAGAAGTGGAGGGAGGGAGGAAAAGAAGGAAGGAAAAAGAAAGACAGGAAGGAACAAAAGAAAGGAGGAAGGATGGAGGGAGGAAAGGAAAGGAGGGAGGGAGGGAAAAAGAAAAATGAAAGAAAGAAAAGATGAAGGAAGGAAGGAGATGGAGGGAGGAAAAGAAGGAAAAAGAAAGACAGGAAGGAACAAAAGGAGGAGGGGAGGGAGGGAAGGGAGGAAAAAAGAATGAATGAATGAAAGAAAGGAAGAAAGAAAAGAAAGATGGATGAGGAAGGAAGGAAGAAAAGAGATGGAGGGAGGAAAAGAAGGAAGGAAAAAGAGAGGAAGGAACAAAAGAAAGGAGGATGGATGGATGGAAGAAAGAAAGAAAGAAAGAAAGAAAGAAAGAAAGAAAGAAAGAAAGAAAGAAAGAAAGAAAGAAGTAGATGGATGGAAGACGGAGGGAGAGAGGGAGGAAAGGAAGGAAGGAGATGGAGGGATTTTATATTTTGGGGGGGTTTCCTTCTCTTCTATTTTTTTTTTTTTTGCTTCAGTTTAGTTTTTTAATTGTTTATTGCCTCTAGTATTTTCTTCGTTGTAAGTTTTGGATGTTTGTATTCTTTATTTTTTGTAATGTGGGTCAAAATACAGTTGGAAGAAAATAATCTGCAGCATCTGGAGAGGGGAGTTCTCTAAAGAGAGGGAAAGGCTAAGAAAAACGGAACTGATAGTCGTTCTAAAAGATGTTTTTTTTCCAATCTTGAACATCTCAAGAGAGATTCAGTTTCAAGTTATTCTTTAAAAAAGGAAGTAGGCTTGTACACTGAAAAATTACACACTCCCCTACAAAACTGTTCTAAAATTGAACTTCCCCTTCAATTTAATTTGCTGCTTCTCTCCCTTCTGGGGGGGGGGGGAGGGAAGTGGCTTTTGTGGGAAATCTCAGCTGTGTTTTTGGCAGTTATCAACAATTCTCCCCAGATTAAAACGTTAGCACTAGAGGAAGACAGAATATCAACTATAGACATTTGTATTTGTATTTTAAATTAATTTTAGAATAGATCTGGAAGGGACCTTGGAGGTCTTCTAGTCCAGCCCCCTGCTCAGCCAGGAGACCCTATACCATCCCAGACAAATGGCTGTCCAGTCTCTTTTTGAAAAGCTCCAATGATGGAGCACCCACAACTTCTGGTGGCCAGCTGTTCCACTTATTAATTGTCCTCACTGTCAGGAAGTTTCTCCTTAATTCCAGATTGCTTCTCTCTTTGGTTAGTTTCCAACCATTTTTTCTCGTCCTGCTCTCTGGTGCTTTGGAGAACAACATGACCCCTTCCTCTTTATGGCAGCCCCTCAGATACTTAAACACTGCTATCACGTCCCCCCTCGTCCTTCTCTTCATTAAATTAGACATACCCAATTCCTGCAACTGTTCCTTACATTTTGTAGTCTCCAGTCCCCTAATCATCTTTGCTGCTTTTCTCTGCAATCTTTCTAGAGCCTCAGCCTTTGGATCTGGGACCGCCTCATCTCTAATATTGATTATCCTCTCTGTTTTCAGGGCCCAGGGTACAGAGTGAAAGAAGGACAGAAAACAGATTCACAAGGGGGAAAAAAAATCAACAAGGCTGCCCTTCTGCGCTTACCACTGGAACAGACCGACCCCAATATTATTTGCATCTGTTCCTTCCTACAATTTAATAATGAACGCAGGGAATTTCTTGACATTATACTTGATAAGTATTTGAAGGTGTAAGCTGTACAAAAGGGCTTAAAAGATTTTTTTATAGATGTGGATTGATGAAATGATAGAATATATTTTTAAAAATAGAACTGTATTTGTTGGATTTATATTGTTATTTTAAATGTGAAGAATACGCTGTAATAGAGAGAAAGAGCCACTTGTGATAGGGAAAAAATTAGTTTTAATGAACGATCTATTATTAAGGATAGCTGAAATCCCAACTATATGTCTATTGAAATGTAACTGGAGTAAGACAATTGCAATTAGTAAAGCTTAAAACAGGATATAGATTATTATAATTGCAAGGTGATTGAGGATCTTTGTTTGATTGAACTTTATCTAAAATTGTATTAATTTTAATAAGCAATATTATTCCTTACAGAGAGCAAATTGTTTATAATTAATTTGAGCTATATGTATACGACTTTGTTTTTGAATGATCTGACACTCTGACCACGTTGTGTCCTAAGCTTTTGTATAAAAAAAATGGAAAAAAACAATAAAACTTTTATATATATATATAAAAAAGATACTCAAAAGATTACTTACCTCCTCCCCCCAGAAACAAAGAAGTATCATTGTCAAAATAGGGCCTATGTTTTTTTTTAAAAAATTCCCGAGTGGGGCATTAAGTGGCAGCATGATTAATACCGTGAGCCTTTGATCTGGCTGGCAGGAAACAAAACACCCCAAGCCTGAAAAAAGACTCACATAACTTTCTGGAGAAGCTCTTTTGTAAATGTTCACGTTTAGTGAGACAGGAACACTTAACAGTAACCGCCTGTTGTCTTAGAAAAATAAAACAAAAGTATGGCTGCGTTAAATGGATGGGGCTGTCACTCCAAACGCACAGAGATAAACCATGCCAAGTGGGGTCCTTGGTGCTCTCTGAGCTTGGCTGTTTTCTTGCAGATGTTTCATGACCCAACTAGGGAACAGAGGGGTCTTCAAACTTGGCCCTTTTATGACTTGTGGACTTCAACTCCCTGGCTGAGGAATTCTGGGAGTTGAAGTCCACAAGACATCAAAGGGTCCTAGTTCCCTCATGCTGGCTGAGGAATTCTGGGAGTTGAAGTCCACGAGTCATAAAAGGGTCCTAGTTCCTTCATGCTGGCTGAGGAATTCTGGGAATTGAAGTCCACAAGACATAAAAGGGTCATATTTCCCTCACGCTGGCTGAGGAATTCTGGGAGTTGAAGTCCACCAGACATAAAAGAGTCATATTTCCCTCACGCTGGCTGAGGAATTCTGGGAGTTGAAGTCCATCAGACATAAAAGTCATAGTTCCCTCACACTGGCTGAGGAATTCTGGGAGTTGAAGTCCACAAGTCATAAAAGGGTCCTAGTTCCCTCACGCTGGCTGAGGAATTCTGGGAGTTGAAGTCCACCAGACATAAAAGGGTCCTAGTTCCCTCACGCTGGCTGAGGAATTCTGGGAGTTGAAGTCCACCAGACATAAAAGGGTCCTAGTTCCCTCACGCTGGCTGAGGAATTCTGGGAGTTGAAGTCCACCAGACATAAAAGGGTCCTAGTTCCCTCACGCTGGCTGAGGAATTCTGGGAGTTGAAGTCCACAAGTCATAAAAGGGCCAGGTTTGAAGACCGCTGGACTATGGGGTCCTTAGTGCTCTCTGAGTTTCTTCTTTTTCTTGCAGACATTTCATAGGGAATGTCTGAATAGAGAACGTCATCACTGCGAGAAGGGATGAGTTTTGTGGAGAAGACGGAGGAGAGGGAGGACTGTGGGGTCTTTGGTGCTCTCCAAGCTTGCTTGTTTTTTTGCAGATGTTTCATTGACTGAATAGGGAACATCATCAGTGCTGGAAGGGAGTGAGCTTTGCACTGATGCTGTTCCTTAGCTGGGTCACAAAACATTGCCAAGAAAATAACCAACCTCAGAGAGCACCAAGGACCCTACAGTGCTCCTCCTCCTCCTCTCCACAAACCCCACTCCCTTCTAGCACTGATGATGTTCCCTAGTTGGGTCATGAAACGTCTGCAAGAAAACAAGCAAACTCACAGAGCATCAAGGACCCCACAGTCCTCCTCCTCTCCACAACCCCCTTCTAGCACTGATGTTGTTCCCTAGTTGAGTCATGAAATGTCTGCAAGAAAAGCACCCAGCTCAGAGAGTGCTAAGGGTCCCCACAATTCAACCCTGGGCTAAAAATATCTTTTTCTAGACCAGGGGTCCCAACCTATGGTCTGCGGCCTGTGCCTTGGGCTCTTGGCCAGCAGGCCACGGAAACGGTTGGCCGTTGCACGCAAGTGTGGGCGCGCTTCCCCCACTCGCGCTAGCGCATGGGTGCAAACAGGGATGCAGCCCGTTTGCGCAGGCGCCACTAGCCTGGGTGGTTTGCACGGCCCGTTTGAGCACGCTGCTAGTGCTGTGCCAATGCGCATGGGCCCCGCGCGTGCGCACCAATTTTGAAGCTACTCTCTTTCCCTCCGGTCCTGGAGCCCGGAAAGGTTGGAGACCTCTGTTCTAGGCCGTTCAACAGCATTGCCCCCCTAAACTGGGTATGTCTGCTGCTAAGGGTGAGAGTCTCAACCAAGCAGCCTGGCTTGTAGAAAGGGCACCATCCTAGACAGGAAGGAAATCCTCTCACAAAAAGTCACACAAAGCATTCCGAAGCAGAAAGGCAGAAGAGAAGAGGGTTAGGGAATAAGAAGTCAAGTCAACTTAGTCCCCCCGCCCTTTGACTTACGACAGTGTTTCCCAAACTTGACAATTTTAAGGCATGTGGACTTCAACTCCCAGAATTCCACAGCCAGCGTTGCTGGCTGTGGAATTCTGGGAGTTGAAGTCCTCATGCCTTAAAATTGTCAAGTTTGGGAAACACTGACTTACGAGAAAGTACAGCACTGACCTCATTTCTTTTAGGCCTTCGGTTTCTATCACCTGCAGAATCTGCTTTGGGGTCATGGGTCCATCCGAATAGTTTTCCAGCACCTGAAAAAAAGAAAAGAAAAGAGAGAGAGAAAATCCCAGGTTTAATGTAGGTAAACCAACTCGAGGCTCTCCAGCCACAACTGAAAGGGAAGACTGGCTTAGCCGCCTTGCAACACTGACTGGGATGGGCTTTGGGCCCGAACGTTTTTCGTGCACGCCGAGATATGTTCAAAATGATAAGAGCTGCTTGCCAGACTCTTTTCAACCGTTGCTAGACCAGACACAAGATCTGGATCTGTGGCTTTTTTTCTCTTCCCCCCCCCCCTTTTAAAAATGCAATCACGAGGATGGGCCCAGCGCAACTCAAATGAGTCAGTGTCCCTTGAGGGCTCTCTTAGCCTTTCCCCTCCCTTCTGCTTTTCACATCTAAATTGTCCCCCTTTGAGATGTCATTTCCCCCCCCCCTTGACAAAATACTCGCTGGGCCTGAAAAGGGGACGGATCAGGGGGTCTAGTAGAACAAATTGTCCTTTGGGGGTAGGGGGAAAGGGCTCCGCCCACCCCACCCACCCAGAAAAGGGAAAGTATTTAGAGATGGGGTTATTCTCCAAAGCTCCAGAAGGCAGGACAAGAAGCAACGGGTGGAAACTAAGCAAGGAGAGAAGCAACCTGGAACTAAGGAGAAACTTCCTGACAGGGAGAGCAATTAACCAGAATCTATGGGTGCTCCATCATTGGAAGTTTTTAAGAAGAGACTAGACAGCCATTTGTCTGAAATGGTATAGGGCAGTGGTTCTCAACCTTTTTAATGCCGTGACCCTCAACCGGTCGTAAGTCGAGGGCTACTCAACCGGTCGTAAGTCAAGGACTACTCAACTGGTGCAGCACCGTTTGCAGAATGAGACTTATGGCAGGCTCAGCAGGGCAGAGACAGCCTGGACAATTCCTATTGGCTTTTGAAAGCCAATAGAATTAGACTCTATTCAAGAGAGTCTATTCTATTGGCTTTCAAAAGCCAATAGAATAAAAGGGAGTAGCACAGCTAAGGAAAAGGGGGGAAAAATGGCGGACTGCATTGTTTGGCGACCCCTGTGAAATGGTCGTTCGACCCCAAATGGGGTTCCAACGTACAGGTTGAGAACCACTGGTATAGGGTTTCCTGCCTGAGCAGGGGGTTGGACTAGATCAGTGGTTCTTAACCTGGGCAATGTGGGAGGGGCTCTGGGCAGCATACAATTAAAAGATGAAAAACTGAGTAACTGAAGATGAATTTAAGTAATTTAAGACAGCCCTTTGTCTGAAATGGTATAGGGTTTCCTGCCTGAGCAGGGGGTTGGACTGGATGACCTCCAAGGTTCCTTCCAACTTGATGATGATGATGAAATATTCCTGCTTCCACGGAAGCAGAGCCAGCAAAGGCTACACAAAATGCTTCAAGCGACTCGCAGCAGGTAGAGAAGCACAGGAAGTCCTCGACTTGTGTATTTAGTTCCAACGGCACTGGAAAAAAGTGACTTAGGACTATTTTTCACACTGAGGACCGTTGCAGCAGTCCCTAGAGGACACGGGATCAAAATTCAGATGCTTTGGCCAACTGACTCGTACTTACGACGGTTGCAGCGTCCCGGAGTCACATGATTCCCCCTTTTGCGACCCTCTGATAAGCAAAGTCAATGGGGGAAGCCAGGCTCACTTAACAATCCCGTCACTAACTGAACAGCTGCCGCGATTCGCTTAACAACGTTGGCAAGAAAGTTTGTAAAAATGGGGCACTTGACAAATGTTTCACTTAGCAACCGAAATGTTGGGCTCCACTGTGGTCGTTAAGTCGAGGACAGCAGGTAAGTCCTCCGCTTATGACCCCAATGGAGTCCAACATTTCCATTCTAAGTGAATTCTTCCTCCATTTACGACCTTCCCTGCTGCAGTTGCTAAGCGAATCACTACAGTTGTTGAACGAGCCATTTGGCCATTAAATGAATTTGGCTTATCAGAATGAGGCAAAAGGGCGATGACACAAGCCCGGAACGCTTGAGACCGTCATAAATAGGAGTCAGGTGCCAAGCGTCTGAATTCTGATCACATGGGGGATGCTGCATCTGTCACGGGATAATCAATCACGAGTCACTTTTTTCAGTGCCGTTGTTAACTGTGAACAGTCAGTAAATGAAAATGGCTGTAAGTCGAGGTCTAAGTGTACTGGCCAGGCCTGTTGTAAACCTTAGACTGGGAGTCTTCAAAGTTGGCCCTTTGATGACTGGTGGACTTCAACTCCCAGAATTCCTCAGCCAGGCATGCTGGCTGAGGAATTCTGGGAGTTGAAGTCCACCAGTCATCAAAGGGCCAACTGTGAAGACCCCTGGTTTAGGACTACATGCCTGTATTATTCTTTATGGGGGGGGGAGCAGAAATCTTACTCTTGTTCTACATTTAGTGATAATTACCTCTCTTCCATCTGTGGAGCCACAAAGCAGCCCACAAAAATCTGAACTAGGCCTCTTTTTTTCCAGAATGTTCCTTCAAGATTTCCTCAAAATACTCCTCATACCTGCCTTATATATTCTATAGAACAGGGATCTTCAAACATGGCCCTTTGATGACTGGTGGACTTCAACTCCCAGAATTCCTCAGCCAGGCACACGTGCCTGGCTGAGGAATTTTGGGAGTTGAAGTCCACCAGTCATCAAAGGGCCAAGTTCGAAGACTCCTGGCTTAGGACTACATACCAGTATTACATTCTTTATGAGGGAAAAAAAAGCAGAAATCTTACCCTTATTCTAAATTTAGTGATAATTACCTATCTCCCAGCCGCAGAGCCACAAAACTGCCACAAAAATCTGAACTAGGCCTGTCTACTCTTTTTTTTCCAGAACGTTCCTTCAAGATTTCCTCAAAATACTCATACCTGCCTTACGTATTCTATAGAACAGGGGTCTTCAAACTTGGCCCTTTGATAACTTGTGGACTTCAACTCCCAGAATTCTTCAGCCAGGCACGTGTGCCTGGCTGGGGAATTCTGGGAGTTGAAGTCCACCAGTCATAGAAGGGCCCAGTTTGAAGACCCCTGCCTTAGACAGACGAGTGTAAATATGGATGCTTCTGTGAACTATTTTTTTGATAAGAGTCCATCTGGATGAAAAAAAGCAAATTCTGGGTCTCTTGATGTGAAAAAGAGGGTTGTTTTTTTAAAAAAAAAAGTCACCAAAACATATAAGAAAATACTCTTGTTTTATACAGTATCTACCCTCTAGCGAAAGTTCACACAAATCATCTTTAATGTGAAAAACTTCATTTAATGTCCCTGCAATAGTGGATGTGTAGACCTAGGATTGGCTGCAGCCAAATGGTGAATTTTCAGCAGCACATTTTTAAAGGATCAGAGTGGTTGCACAATTTCTTAATATCCCAGTTTGCCAAACGTGGTAACAGTAACCTATAATAAAAATGCAACTGTTTTAGAATGTCTAATTTATAGTCATTAAAAGAAGCGTCAACACCTTCTAGCCCAATGTTTCTCAATCTTGACAATTTTAAGGCATGTGGATTTTAACTCCCAGAATTCCACAGCCAGCAATGCTGGGAGTTGAAGTCCACATGCCTTAAAATTGTCAAGGTTGAGAAACACTGTTTAATCTAGCATCAGTGAAAAGGACACCACGTTAAAAACGTTAATGGAATGCAAACACCAACAGTAGATTGATAGAAAACACTGCACATGGAGCCAATTTATGGTAACACAGGAGTAAAAAAGCCAGAGACCACGAGTTCAAGTCCCTCCCTCGGTATGAAAGCCATCTGGGGGTGACTTTGAGCCACTTCCTCACAGCACAGCCCACCTCACAGGGTTGCTGTTTTGGGGAAAATAGGAAGAAGTTGTGTTGGCTATGTCTATTGAGGTTCTCATGTTCACTGCCTCGGGGAAGGAAGGAAGGAAGGAAGGAAGGAAGGAAGGAAGGAAGGAAGGAAGGAAGGAAGGAAGGAAGAAGGAAGGGAAGAAGAAGAAGTAAGGAAACAGGAGGGAGGAAAGAATGGACGGAGAGAGGAAAGGAAAGGGAGAAAGGAAAGAAGGAACGGAAAGAAGGAAGTAAAGGAGAAGGAGAAAAGGAGGGAGGGAGGAAAGGAAGGAGAAAAGGAAGGAAACGGGAGGAAGGAAGGAAGGGACGGAGAGAGGAAAGTGAAGTGAAGAGAGGAAGGAAAGAAGAAAGTAAAGGGGAAAGAGGAAGGAAGGAAGGGTAAGGAAACAGGAAGGAGGAAAGAATGGATGGAGAGAGGAAAGGGAGAAAGGAAAGAAGGAATGGGAAGAAGGAAAGAAGGAAGTAAAGGGGAAGGAGAAAAGGAAGGAGGGAGGAAAGGAAGGAGAAATGAAGGAAGGAAATGGGAGGAAGGAAAGAATAAAGTAAAGTGGAAAGAGGAAGGAAGGAAGGAAGGAAGGAAGGAAGGAAGGAAGGAAGGACAATACGGAGGAAAGGCAAGCTCACAGCCTCCAAAAAGAGAAAAAGTTCAATCTGAATTCTGTATTCTGCCATTAAGAGTGTACAGCTGCTAGGAAAAAGTGGGTTTATGCTTCTCAAAGAAAGCAAAGGAAACCCTGCCTACTGTGAGTGAATTCAGCTTGGAAGGAGTTGCAAAGCACAAAGCACACACAACAGACACGCCCCTGGAATCCAATCAATTGATCTAAAAAGGTGTTCAGCCTCTGGGCTCTGAAACAGCCACTCCAAATCAGGGCAGAGATAAACGCACCTTCTTCAAGAACACAACCAATCACCTTAAGGATAAGGACCAAACCCACTTTCCCTTTAGTGAAAATGCAGAAATGCATGCCCAACATGAATCGGAAGCTTGTGAAATTCAATTACAAGCAATGCTCTACTCTAGTCTATGCCGTTCCGGGAGATACACACCATCAACACCAAAGAACAGGAAGCGTGTTTTCTAAAGAGGCACAAACCCGTAGGAAACGCGTCACAGCTGTGACTCTTCACTTTCAGCAAAATGACACCAACTGCACAACGGCTAGGAAGGTGCAAAGCAACTCGTGTGTGTGCGTGTGCACGCTG